ACAGTCTACAGGCGAGCATTAGACGAACTTGGAAGCTTTCATGAAGAGTGCACCATACAAGTTGAAGAGTTCAACAACAGGGCCATCGACAAAGCCTGGGAAAGTTAAAAACTCAACCGTACATCGTGGCCGCAGCAGAAGCCGGAATTGCCTCCGAAGAACCTCCACTCAACCAACTTCTCGGCACCACCCGTGAAGAACTGCCGAGGCGCAGGAACGCGGTCCCCTGATTGCCCTTGATCGTGACCTTGTAGCTGAGTTTCTGTTGCAGGCCCCTCGACATCCGTAAACCATAGGGGGATGTTGTCCTGGCTTTTGAGTAAGACTGCGAAAAGCTAGCACACAACGCACCGACCACAGTATCCGTCGCGTACTACACAGTGCGAGTGGGCACATTTCTCCCCGGCGCTAAGTGCGGCTTTGCAGGACTTTGTTTACGGGCTCCTTTAAGGTATTCTCTCGACCGACGACCCGAACATGCTCCACCCGAGGATCCAAGCTATCTGTCCGCACTTCAGAGTAGCTCAGGACCCGGATGCCCCGACAGCACCTCAACTTACGAGCCCCAGCTCTGCAGCTGTGGCCGAGACCCAGCCCTCCGCCGCATCCTTCAGCGCTCGGCAGCGCACTCGGCGGACTTTCGACTCCTCGTCCTTGCGACTAGAATCGAACAAGCCCTTCCTGCTCAGTGAAGCAAGGTTGATGGAGATTGGGCCGATACCCGACATCATCATGACCAGCGTCATCATCTTCTACTTCTTCATCATCATCTTCAACAGCAGCAGCAGTACCAGCATCGCCAGCACCACAACCACGCCGGAACCCACCGCCATCTCCACCATCATGCCACTAGTACAGCTTCTGGTTGTCGGCAGGGCCTGAACCGCATGACAATGCAGGACAATCCATCCATCCATCCTCAATCTACAACTTTTCCTTTTCCCCCCAAGTCCGAATCCCGCTTGACAACCTAGGCCCGCAGCCTCAATCCGCCTTCCTGAGTCGCAAAGCACGGCATCGACTCGGTCCTCTTTTGGGCCCGCCAGGACCTCCACCAGCTCCGACGTCCTTGGCAGTCGGTCTTCGAGCTTCTCTGGATTAGGGCAGCTTCAGGATTTAGGATGAAATTCTCTTCGAGCCGCCCTTCGGACCCCACGCACAGTCGCGGTATACTGGCATCCTCCGCCGTCCATACCTGAATCCTGAACGCCTTCAGGTCCCAACTTTGGCAAACCAGAGACCTTGGTCCCCGAAGCCCTCAATCCCCGGGTTTGCGGCCGAGTGTCTGTATCTTGCGGACCGTCGACGAGGAGGAGATCGTGAAACCCTCAGTCATGGCCACTTCGCGAATGCAGGTTGCATATTCCTCGGCGTGGCTATTGGCTAAATTATCTATCTGTTTAACCACTCGATGGATTAACTGCCTAACGGATCAACTAACTAGCTAGCTAGCAAGCTAGCTAGCT